ACTTTAAGTCGGCAGGTTTTCACAATGTATCCTACCTGCTACAACATGCCTACCATTCCTCGCAGCCTCAAACATTTTCCCTCCAAGCGCATCCTTCCCGGCCCCTGATGTGATCTTCCCACCTTCCTGGTGGGTGACCGAGATCCTTAGTGTTGCCATGGCACAGGAAGGTTTGTCACCCACTGACTGGGTTTACACTGCGTCCGGTTTTTAATCGAGCAACATCTAACCGCACGGCAGCGGTGTCGTTGGTGACCCTTTCTCTTCAAGCGAGATGGCTTTCGCCTCGAGATGAAACTGTCATTGGGAATAGTGACTTTTTTCTGAGGATCGAACTTGCAGACCTCTAACTGAACCTTGAGGTCTCATCGTTGCCTGCCGGCGACTGCGTATTTATTTGCAGCTAGCCTTCATATCTGGTGGTCGTTCCCTTATCGGCATCACGGGAACGCGCCAGTTCGCCAGCAGCTAAGTAAACTGATTATTTACCGGCAACACGTGCGTGAACTTCGGCTAAAAAACTAAATATGAAATTATAAAATGCAAAAATAAAATCTGTATTTGATGCAACAGTAGGAGAAATCTTGGCATTTTGAGGGAATAAAGAATTTTTACGCATTCATATCTTTGAAGTGGGTTTTAAGTCTTCTGCATGAGAGTTCGGAGGTGATCCCTATGTAAAATAAAACGGCTCTTGATAGAACAGGATTGAGAATGCGTGAATGTCTATAGATAAAGAATTATTACAAAATGTATGCTGCGTTCGTTGAGACAATCATCTTCAACTCTCTGCATTTGAAGGACGTGTCCGCTCTGTGATGCCCATTGCATTTTTAGCTTTTCAACACTTACGCTGTAAGGCATCGGTTACTGTATTGCACCTTTGTTATAATCCTCTGTGTTGCATGCGGGCCTTTCGATTGTCACATGAGAAGCTGAAGTGGTGCATGCTCACCCAGTTTGTTTAGCAGGGCGAACATCCGTTTCTTAACCACCATATTTATTGAGGTCACCGGTGTAGGAAGAAAAAAATAGTCATTCCTTACGTGGTCTTGACATCTAACCCTAATTATACGTCGAAACCAACACTGCCGTACGCAATTCTGTAGTCGTTCTTCATTTTCTATCAGAACAACTGTTTTCACAGCATCCAACAACAGAAACTTATCAGAGGCAAGACACAGACAGGCTTTTGGGGGAAGAATAGCTCCTATCTCAGTTCAAATATTGCATATGCTTCCAAACGCATACGAGGTTAAGACGATCCTCATATTTAACCCTAAGTGAATGGTGACATCACCTGGGAATGAGTAGCAACGAGACTCAGATCGTTCACCCTCCAAGCGCTTCACCTCACTGCTCTACCTGTAGAACTGCTATACAGGAGAACTTTTGATTTCCGTGCGTTAAGGCAGAAGCCCGCTTTCGCAGCTGCGTTGCAATCGAAAACTGTCAGGTGACAGAGTACTGCTCTGAAAGTTTTCTTTAAGTAGTCTAGACCAACGGATATCTGTTTTCCTTAAAATGCGCATTCGCTTCAACAATTGCTAAATGGTCCAGTTTGAGCAATATCGCATTTATATATTTTTATGACAGTGCGAGAAAATTTTTCTTAAAATACATATTCATTCCACGCGAAATTAATCCATGATGCTGCAGCGTTTTTAAAAGTAATGCCTGCGTTTCCGAATTACGTATTATCCGGATGATCCTTGTCATAAGTACGTGAATAATCTGATCTTAACCATTTTTCCATGTTGAATTATGCTCTTCAATGAAATCACTCGTGCATTTCGGCGATGCCGTCAAATTACGCTTTATTTTAAATCCTATTTATGCAAATGTAAAGTAATATGAACTTGAGGCTTGAAATTCTTGAATCACTCATTCAACGAACTTCGAATCAAACTTTGTGGTCACGTTCCATGACTTTCGCTGCTGACAAGTCGATTGTTGTCATTCGGTCCGTGACCGCATTTTGTTGACCTACTGGTGGATTATTGACTCCGTCGGTCGTTCGAGAACAACTGCTGACGTGGTGTGTGTGTTTCACGGGTGGCTGATGAATAGAACGCACGAAACTCTGAAACTCGTCGTCCAGGATAAACAGAATGAAACGGACTGGGCCGTCGGCTGTGGCCGACCGACGTTGGGAGCAAGGAGGCAAGGCAAACGACCGAATAAAGAGACATGTGGCTCGTAGACGCAAAACACAGTCGAAGGACAAACAACTCGCACAATAGAAAAAGCCACTTAGCCGCATACAATCCAACTAAAGCATTTCCAAGCAAAGCAATATGTTCACCAACAGGGGGACAATGAAAAACCACTGAAAGAATGGTCCATGTCTGTATAAAAGTTCCAACTTCGAACGGCTAAGTCATAAGCTCATATCCACCGCCGCTATGTCCACGCCTATCGCTCATACGCTGATATGCCTAGCAGTCCTGCTGGTGCCAAGTTATTCGGTGAGTATTCGTTACCATACTTGTCATCGTTATGGGTGCGCCACGAACGCAAGTCCATGCTCCTCCGTCATTCTCTGATCTCCGCTTTCTGCCTCCACCCCCACCCCCCTTCCACCCTCCAAGCCAGCGGAACATGGTTTCTAATTATTGACG